TAGCAGCAGAAACAAGTTTCCCGTTGTTTGAGATTTTGTTTCTCTAGAAGCCCGCAGAGGAAATACACAATGATGTTATACACAATGGGGAAAGTGTCCACCTTACAGCAATGTCAAAACCTGGATATCTCGTTATAAAACTGGTAATTTCAACATTCAGATGGAGTCCCGCATTTGATGTCCCCGAACCTCAATGGACCCAGCAACTCGTGAAACTGTCCATGGACCGCCGGGTATCCGCTAAAGACTGTCTAGGTACTGGATATCTCACGGGAGCGTGTTGGTTACGTTGTCTTTACTACCATTTTGGTCCACGTCTGACTCCTTACCCTCTTCATCAACCCACTGGTTCTAATTGGACTACTATGACTTTCCCTTGGCCTTTCAAAGAGTGCCACCATACACCTATTAACATCAGCCTCGTACGCCCCCGCGATTTTTGTCTACGGCTGACTCCCTCTTCATTAACCCACCGGTTTCAACTGGACTACTTTGACCTTTCACTTGACCTTCCGAAGAACTTCACGACACACCTATTAGCATCAGCCTCGTAGGCTCCTACGATAGCCTAGATATCCCTTATCTGGCTAATGACCTTCATCTCCGTCACAGTCACAACTTAGCGTTATCTTTCTTCTTTATCGCGAACACATTCTAGTCAAACTCCACAAAAAGTTATTGCATGTAACAATGTATGTCAACGGTGTACAATCCAAAGCAGTTTTACGCATTTGGTTTAGTACCAGCGGCACCGTCACATGAGCAGTCTTCAATTGCGTATGTATGCTACTTTGTTTGTCTTCCTTTTCTTCCTCATCTACTTTCCCGAGATCTATGAAGAATGGTCGATTAAACTCACCGGATTGTTATCGGCCACCGAGAAGGTCCAACAATGGCCCTTTGGGAACGAACAGAATTCTCACCACCAAAGCACACAAAGCATTCACTTGATGCTCGATGGAAGACGGATCAATGAACTCTACTCATACTACCGGAACCACTACAATTCCGGAATCATTCTATCTAGGGCCCGAACAATTGGGTTCGACCCTATCTAATTTCGGGAAGACGTTACGAGCATGATTGTGGGAAACGAATTTGATGCTTACCGCTCATTTCCCGGCGCCAGCCAGCAACCGTGAAAATTTGGTGACCCGACAACCGTGATTAGCAGGAATTTGGTTTAGCCGTGAATGCACAGGACACGCTCCAACACAAGTTGCACTTATAAGACAAACTCTCTATCCACCTGTGGCTTCATTCATTCACAGCATGGTTGCACATATTCCCTGGGCTTTGTACTGTCGTCTTGTTACAGACACCTTGACTAAAAGCCCCATTCATTGGACAATGTTACATAAATTTTGCCACATACAACAGGAAGTAAGCAAACAGCAACGACTATTTTCTGCCTCGTCCATGTCACCTGTGGCAAAGTTTTGTCCAGCAACCGAATCTGTTCAATTTATGATCGATACACTGTACATTTTTGCACGTACTTGATCATGACTCTATGGCGTCTCGCGTAGTCGAGAATAAGAAGTTTATGTCCTGGACATGATTAAGTCTTCAGCAAAGTGGGCGCCGGAAGGTTTGACCAGTGATCAAACACAGAACTTTTTGACTAGGTTAGTGATTGAGGAAGAAAGTTGGTTTTACATGCATGATCCTGAAAGCATAGAACAATAAGAGAAATAGCGTCACTTCAGGTCATCGCGGCCGAAGAAGCCCCGTGACGTCTGTGCCTGCTTTCTGGAACAGTGATCAACTGAGCACTGGACTAACTTCCTAGGACCCCAGCATCATCGGACAGTATCATGTTACGCGAGACAAATAAAAAACGCAGTGGAAAGGTGACCAAAGGTTGTCTTTTTTGCATGGCAATAACCTTCCCACATGTTCAATGTGTGGCCGTCAAACTGAACACCCTGGGTTTCCAGGTTTCCCGGATCTGGCCCAGTTAGAGTACTTCTTTTCCAAAACTTGAAGGAACATCTGAAGGGGTGACGTTCTGAAGATATTTCTGACGTCAAACATGCTGCTGACGTAAGGTTTGAGGCACAACCAAATGACTTCAGCTGCCCAGCCTAGGAAAACTGAAAATACGCTGTAGAAAATGCATGGTTTTTTGGGGGGTGAATATGTCGAATGTGCCATTTCATGACTCTAGTTCTTTCCTTTCTGGACAAAGCCAATAAATTCTCAGAACGTTGGAGAGCAACTAAGGAATTTGTCGCAGCAGACACGCAGGTCAATCCGACAGAAGTTAACAGCAAACAATGCCAAAGGGCCATCTTGAAGCAATCGCTCTGTCAATGGATTGCGATGCACAATCTCAATGTGGACCGCGATGCTTATCTAAATGAACAATGGCTAATTCGATTACCGGGACCGTGAGGGACGAAGCAAGTGGGTTTTCGGGCGAGTAACATCCAAAATCCATCGAGTTATATAACCCGTTGAAGACAGTTGGTGGACGCACATTGCAGCGGAGTGCTCTGGTAAACACTGCATCGTCGCCTACAGTCTGTACATATATTTGCTTCACATTCATATGTGGTGATGACAAGCGAAGTATCAGCAATCATTAAGGCACCAAATTGTTAAACTAAATGATGAAAGCAACTGTTCGGAATCAACTCAATGACACTGTCATCGCGTCCTGGAGTCGAGCGCGGCCAGAGAGCAACGGGAACTTCGTTTGGCCTACGATAAGGTCGAGTATACCAAAGCAATTGACGCAGCGAATAGTGAAGTGACTGGTGTTGGGTACATAGGCCAAGGTGCGGCTGCGTGGATACACCTCAGCTAGCCTCTACCTTTGCTTATCGATTGGGTAACCGCCATCTTAACATTTGCATTCACTGTAGGGGATTACAGTGTCCATCTCGAGCACCGCACCAATGGTGGGTTGCTGAACATAATCCGTGAAACAACCACCCGGGTGGTGATATTTGATGACTATGCGTCGCTTGCACACTGAAAATGAGTTACAACATGATGAGGGCTCTCGTTTCAACTGCTTGTATTTTGAGTCCATCAACGGATAGAGTTCATGCGTTGCCGGAGAAGTAAGACTGTTTATGAAGTTGAATTCCTCAGAATATTGCCCTCGTGATAATGTTTCAACAAAAGCATTTGTGTGCTGCGTATCTGGGAAGCATGAAACCCAAACAACTAGGACGCCCGATATATGGAGCCTGTATGGAATCCTATGCGTGCGCTGGTGTGAAAGAGTACCTAACATGGAAGTGATTCGAATGAACGACACGTACATGATGGACAGTACACAGTCACCGCGACACCTGAAGTCGCTTGGACATATTTGTCTGGTGGATACGGTCAGAATACCGAAACACACGAGTGCAGAAAAATAAAATACGGATAAGACAAAGTTACGGCCCTAGAACCCGATCAAGGGGAAAGTATTATGTCCTAATGTAAACCTTAGGTGCTTGGAAGTGACTTGATCACGATGGGAATATAGTTGCCCAGGTGCAGAGTGCTGCAGTAAGAACAACAAGAACGGCTACAAATATGATAGCTATGGATGGAACCTAGCACAGCGAAGTCATGCACCTGGTGTTACAGCCCATGTAGCCTGCCTGCCTAGTCATCAAGATATTCACGATGAGACTGCACCAAAGAGCTGCAGCGTTTCCGTCAAGTTTGCAAAACTAGGTAGATAATGCGGTAGCAATGGCACGTAAGCCGCCTCGTTGCCACCGCTGTGCACGTGACTTTGTGTTGTAGATTTGACGGCGTTTGCAAACTGATATCCGAGGTTGAACTGCACTTGACAAGATGCCTATCGAATACGACCGCTTAAGTACTGGCTCCAATGGACCGCTGATTGACGATGGGGTAGATGGGGTGCAGAATCCTTGGAGTGGCACTATCCAATGTGAGACGGGCTAGGGCCCAGTCATGGTCCTGTGCACACTTTGTAAACATGATCCACTCAGGTTCGTAGAAAGTAGGTGTACACTGAAGGAGTGCGGGCTGGGTTTGAATCAATCTTAGCTGCCAAAGAAATATCAATCAAGCTTATTTCTTCGAGGTGTGTGGATGGAGCTGCGGATATCGCCAACCCTAATACCTATCGTACTGTGAAAGGACAGACTTGAATTCGCATCGTAGGGTTTTGTTAGTCAGCCAGGAACAGTTGTGCAAAGAGGGACGGATTCAGTTGATAATTACGGTACTGAAAATAAGCACGAGTGCGGCTTGCTACTAGAAACCTTGTCAAAGCTACATTAACAGGAACATAAGAAGCATCAACAACTACGCTGTTGAAAGTCAGCAGTGACATCATACGCGCAGAGGTTGAGCGCTTTGTTGGTAGTCACGAAAGGAGCATACATTATTCGTCGGCAAAGATGATTTGAAACGGCGCCTTTCTTGACATCGCCAGACTCGGAGATGAGTGTTGCAGTTCTGGTCGAGGAAAAAAGCAACCAGTAACTAACAACGATATCGGATTGTGCGGAGAAGGCAGCATCAATCGTACTGTTTTGTAGCTGCACGCAGCCGGGTGCATAATGGGAATGCTGTGCGAGTGCCCAGATCCACGCAGTAATGGAAATTCGCACTAAAAGCGTGGAGATCATACATCAAATGCGTGACCCAGAACACCGCACTCATCCGATTCACCGCACTAAGTGCCTAATGTGTGATAGAAACGCGGTTGACGTAGCTCCCTAAAAACAAACTAAACAAGAATTTCAAGGACAATCACAAGACAAAGTGTATAACTATGCATAATCGCTCGTTGAAACTGCAGCATACTTCACCAGAATCATGTCAATCCAGGGTATGTGACCTGCGGGTAAATAATATGTGACATATTACTGAGCGAAAGCGCATGACCCCCGAAAAGTTTGAAGGTTCTTTAGCAGCAATACTGTATCATGAAAAGGCTAACGAGTAAAAATTGTACTGTGCACTAGGGTACAACACCTTGAAAAACATAGACTGCACACTGTTCATTAAAAACTAACCGGAAACTGAACGGAGCCAGGCCCTCCAGCGGGGCTTGGATTTGAGCCGCCACACACAGATTGTAAGGAGCCACCAGAACTTGAGTGAACATATTGCGGTGGTGGCGGGGCTTGTCCCTGAGAACCACCTGCACAAGCCATATGCTGCTGCTGTAGAAGACCAGTCTGTTGATGAGGGGGTGGCATCATCATAACAGATTCCGGAGTGCCGCCAAAGCTCGACGAGTTTATGCCATTACCATTTCCGCCAGGACCAGTTGATGGAGGATAGTCTGATGGCATCAAGGATGGAGGTCCACCTGACGGACCAAGTAGATCCGATCCCAGACTAGAACCACCGTGCAAGGGTGATGCCTTTAAATCCGGGCCAGAGGGATAACCCCCTGAAACGGATGAGGGCATACCGGTTGAGTACTCTGGAGGTGGTGGGGGCATCATACCAATGCTTCGAGGGGGTAGATTGCTTGAATTACCATTTAACATTATAGTATCGCCGGCTCCAGGTCCCGCTCCGAACATACCACCATCGGGAGTCGAGCCAGGGCCGCCACTCCCGAAGACCAAATGAGGCGAAGGCCTGGTATTGTACTCTGGGGGCAAACAGGCATTTGAAGCGGGTGGGGTTTGTTGTTGTGGCGGAGGTTGTCCAACTACATAGTGGGGTGGGGTTGGATGATGAGGATGTCCGGATAGGCTGTTGCCAGAGGGCTGGTGATCGGAGGGACAATTGCCCTGTATGGGTGGATCAAAGAAAAACGTCATGCGAGCAAAAAGCTCCGGATCAAGATGGCAGCATCCACCCAATAGGCTAGCTAGAAATGGTGACTGGTGAGATGTACATACTTCGTAAGCGATAACAATCCACACAGCTATGAAAGTCACTATTTGAATGCACCTGAAGTCAGTTACTTGAAGCCACGATCAAATACCAAAAGGCTTGTAAAATGATACACTACATGAATATGTCTAAAACTATGAGCGTACACTGTCGGTTTAAAGATAGCTGTACTAACAGCTGCACGGATGTTTCGTACACAGGTAGTTAGCTGTGATCGTACAGTGTCACACATCCCATCTCAAGCAGGTTGACTTCTCGAATGTCATGAACCAACAGCAAGTTTCCAAGAAAGCAACACAAGAGTGGAATGATTGAAGAGCAAGGTAAATAAATGCGGATTTTTACCTGGCTGTTGATTGGACTTGGGGCGGCCAAATGTGACGGAACGTGTGGGTTGGGAGTACCGGGGTGACCAGGGCTTTGAGCTATCCCACTGCTGCCTCCACCACATGAGCCGGGACCAACACTACCAGGTCCCGCGGACGAAACTGAATTGGGACCCGCGGATCCAGAACAAACTGCGGGAAGACCGCCACCCTGTTGAGGTGGTCCAGAGGGGCCACCTGGTTGTGACGACTGCTGGGGTCCCATTGAAGGGCCCATCCAGCGAGGGCGGGGATGACCCATCATAGCACCCGGATGATGATGATGCTGTGGAATCATGGGGCCACCGTGCATAGGATGGATAGGACCCCCACCGGGGAGAAGATTAGCATGCGGCGGAATCATGCTACCCCCAACCGGGGGGCCCAGATACCCACCAGCCCCGGACTGATGAAAGCGCATGGAGGGATGATGAGGCGATGGACCTTGAAGCCCAGGTCCTGCGTTGGGAGGCAATCCAGCTCCGGGCATGAGAGTTGGGCCAGAAGGGCGTTGTCGCATTGAAACGGGATCAGGGCCGGGAGGACCTAGAGGTGGAGGCATTCCTGGTCCGCCACCAGGTCCCCCGACTCCACCGGGGCCAGACATAACTGGATGATTAGGCTGAAAATAAGTAAAAAGTCTGCATATTAACGAACAGCAAAAGGAGGTGGGGACAAAGTATGGGTAAATAGGTACAATGAGCACCCCTTGGTGCAACAATAATTAGGTATAAATGTTTGCTACAGAAAAGCTGAAGCAGTTAATTACCCAAAAGTTCAGCACGATGGAGGCTGCGGAAAGAAAAGGCGAAGCATGCAGTTTTAAGTTCGTAAAAAAAGGAGCAGCGCAGAGCACGGATGTACATCAACCCAAAGTACATGATGAAAGACAATGGCCGTCACTATGACAAAATGAACGACGGCGCAGCAAGAGCAAAGCGAAGACGTGACAACTGGTCGAACATGTAATAAAAATGCATAAAATCAAAAAGGATGGCTGGAAGCAGACGACATGTAGCATTGACAATGTGACTCTCTAGAGTTTGAGATGGATAATCAATCAACGGATGTTTAGGTACCGTGATATGGTAACTAAAAATAACCTAACGACAGTCCTTATTACCACTGATTGATGATGCACGTTGGTAAATTGGTCCACATACTGATAGTCCTATCTGCAGAAAAGCTTGCGGCACATTAGCCGAGCTGTTTCTCACTCTCAGCTATGGTGTATTGATGGTTATCAGCGGCACGCCTGTACACTGTATCGATGATTCGCCAATACTCGACCATCACAACGCGTGACGGCTAGTTGTACTACGAGGTCACTCGCACCCGCACGGATAACATCGCAGGCTAAATAAGTCAACAGAGACCTTGGGATTCCTGTTGACCACATTTGGGGGGTAGCGACATGTCATCATCATCATTACACAACAGCTGAGTGCGAGAAACACCCTTCAGCTGTTGTGCAACAATACATAATGACAAGACATGAAAAAAACAAAATACTGAAAATTATAGTATGCGCCAGACTACTTAGTGACATAGTGTGTTCAGAGGGTGATCGCGGTTGGGGGTGGAAGATAAGCGGGATAGGGAGGGACAAAGAAAATCACAATGGGGCCGGCTCCTTGCCATGTTGACTAGTGTATCCAACCAAACGTGTTTAACGTCAGTAGGACCACAGCCAGGAGGCACCAAGCGACGCTAATTTCGAAGTGAGGAATTCACTACTCTTGGCCACCCATGCTCGTCTTCCATCCACTCCCGAGACGCAAATGCACGACGCGGGAGTCGGTGTAATGGCATGCGCAACACGTAGCCCAGCTATCGGAGCTTGGTGCGTGATATAATGGTGCTGAGCGGATCACTCGCTCTTACTGCACCAAATACACGATGCCGGACACATACATTGCTTATGCAGTGCTCCCACCAGTCATGAGCTAAGTCAGTGATGATCGAACGTGACTAGTCTCTATGCCTGCCGGCTTGATGGGTCAGGTTTCGCAACCACACAGTAGGGTTGAACGGACGGATGCATTGTAAACTCTGCCCTTCAGGGAGTGAACAGAATTTTGAAGGTAAATAAGGCTGCAGGAGCAGAGTGAATCTTTTCAGCTCTCTCCAAACTCGGGGGATTCGCTCATGTAGATGATCTGCACAATATACTTCTGAGGCTGTGGGAGCAGGAAACTGTCCCAGAAGAGTGGAGTCGCTCCGTCATAGTCCCAATTTTCAAGGGGGACGCAAATGCTGAATGTGGCAAGTATAGAGGGATCAGTTTGAGCTCAGTTGCCTCTATGATACTTGTTTCTGTCGTTCTTCGTAGACTTGCCGGCGCACCGCCGTATTTATCGGCGAGTCACCATAGTCGTGTTCCTCGGCATCAAAGTTGCCTTTGATTTAGCTGATCGACGTGCCCTTTGGGACTGTCTACTGAAGGAAGAGCGCTGTACGCGCATAGTTCGAGCAGAGTGAGGGCTGACGGTAAACTATCACCGTCCTACAATATCTCCAGCGGTATGAGACAAAGATGCCCGCTATCACCTTTCCTCTTTAATTTCTCAGTCGACGAAGTTATGGAAACTGCGTTCACTGGACAGGAAGTGCAAAGCGTGGAGCTTCTCCCAGGTGAACAACTCATTGACATTGAGCACGAGATTGGCCTTATCTGACAGCTTTCAAAGTTGCCAAGTAGCACCGGACAAATTAGCATTGGCTGTCAATCGTTTGGGGCTATGCTATGCACCCTCGAAGTGCAGTCTTTCTACTACAACAACGACGACAACAACAACACATTAGCCACTTGAACTGATGCTTCCCTGCCATACAACCATGATAGCCTGCGGGATAACAAACAATAAGAGGGAGAGAAGAGGGACTTACCTGAAAACTCAAATGTCCCAAGCAAACATTCAGAGTCAAGGCGCCTACACTTTGTGCACACTTTGTCACACACGGTTATCGTGTAAAGATAAGGCGGAATCAGCGAGACAGATTCCTTGCAGCGTTCCCTGACCCGCGTCACAATCAGCCTCTTTCCCGCAGAAAACAACACAACATAATTTATACACGCAATCCGACTAGGAGACGGCAGCAGACGCGCCACTGGTGTCTACTGCGAGCCATGTCTTGTAGTCTCGAGCCAAGCACAAGTCGAGTCACGTGGACTCCAGCCTGGAAGGCGAAACGGACCAACGGCACCCAGTTTGATCGTCAGTGACTTCATTTCCCGCTGCCAAGTCAACTTCTGTCCACCTCGAGCTTTGCGCCACTCTACACCTGGCAGACTAAATAAGGACCTACTAGGTAAGCGGTGACCAGACATACGTAGCACGTGCCCAAGCCAACGCAACTTATTCGATGCTATCAGTTGTTGCAGGGAGATAGTATGATTACCACTACCCAGTACTGGCCTACGCACATCACGTTGCGGACACGCTGGTGCCATCCGACACCAGAAGTGCATCACAACCAACGATGTTTAAAGACTTGAAGGTGCCTCAAATCTTCAGACCCAGGGGCCAGGTTTCACTACTATAGAGCAAGACGGCCTCACTGTGGCTTTGTATACACGGCCTTTAAGACGGAGAAATTCTATTCTGTCGCCAAAGATGCCGTAGGTTACAGAACGCAGCTAGGGCTTTTGTAATGCCTGAACTGCCTTCAGTTTCTATGCGCCCATTGTTGCTGATACTGTCGCCAGGGTAAGTGAAGCGATCAACAACCTCGAGTTCCCCGTTATCAACGGTCAAAAAGTCATCAAGTGACTGATGGTCCTGCAGCAACACTTTGCACTTCGAAGCACACACCAAATAATGGGAGGACTCAAGACAGGTTATTCAGGGTTGATTATTCCGCCGTAACATCGTCGGAAAGCAAGACGACATTGTCCGCATAAGCAAGATCAACTAACCTTTCACCAGGCAAGACCTCAACGCCTACATCGTGAGATTCCGCAAGGGAACAGTCCATGATAGAGTCCACGAAGAAATTGTACAAAAATGGGGAAATCTGACAACCCTGACGAACGCCACTGGTGGTCGGAAAGCTATCCGATAGGACACCGAGACCCTGACGCGGCCTGTACTGTTCGAGTATAGAGCACGAAGGATGTTCACATATTTCGTGGGAACACCTTCGTGCTCAAGTATTTCGAACAGAATCGATCGATCGACTGAATCGAAGGCACCCTTGAAATCGAGGAACACAGATATTCTCGGTCTGCGGTATGCGTGGCGCTGCTCTAGCACCTGCCGCAAAGTGAATATATGGTCTATACAGCCACGTCCTGGGCGGAAACCTGCCTGCTCTTCCCTAATCAGATTCCCGTTCCGATAATCGAGGCCAGTAATTTTGTCACAATTGGTGTTAGGCTAATACCCCTGTGGTTAGAACAGTCTGTGCGACTGCCCTTCTTGTATATTGCCACTATAATCGATTCGCTCCAATTAGCCGAGATACTTCCTTCAGATACGTTCGAATATGGAGGTCAGTGGTTTGCAGAGGACCTCACCACCATCCTTAAATAGTGCAGGTGGGAGAGAATCCGGGCCAGCGGCACGAAAACGATTGAGGGCTGTGATCGCGTTTTGGAGTTTGGCCTCCGAGGGAGGCTTTAAACTACCGTACATGGCTAGTTCTGCATCACCTGAGTAGGAAGAGATCCAGGAGCAGGAGGCCAGCTGAACTGAGCTTGAAAGTGTTCTACCCAACGAGCCATACGGCGCTCCTTATCGTGCATCAGTGCACCCGCCCTGTCACTGACTGTCTCACTGACGCGAGTTTTCCTGGGACCAGTGGTGCGGAGCAGCTGGAAGAGCTTGCAATAATTGCCTACTGCTCCTGTCTCCTCCATTTCTTGAGCCCGACTGGTCCACCAGGCTTCTTTGTCAACACGTAGGCTCCGATTCAGTTCGCGCTTAATAGTCCGTCTGGTCACATCGTGCACAAAGCCAGTCGGGAGGTTACTTCTGGATTCCAACAGGTTCACCGACCTCTCAGATATCCAGGGACTTGTGCGGTGGCGATTGGTTGTGCAACAAGCAGATGCTCCTGCGTCGTGCATGGCGGTCGAGATCCTATCCCACTGAACCTTAGTGTCATCAGAATAATACAGCGAAAGTTCGGTACGCAGCGCGCCTCCCGGTAAAGTTCATGCAGAAATGACAGCGTACCAAGACATGATCAGAGTCGACGCAGGTATTTCAGTACGAGCGGCAATCTAGGGTGGAACCACGCCACCTGTAACTAATGGCAATGTGGCTAATTTAGGTCCAACGCTGACCAGCTACAGGTGGACGCCAAGTGGCACCTCAACGCCCACTGTCTAAAAGCAGTGCTACTGAGAAACAGCTGGTGCTAGGCACAGTTACAGCAGACGCTCACCGTTGTCAGTGCGTTCAAAGTTAAACCCATAATTACCACCCAGCTGAGCTTCTGAAGAGCTCAGACGCCCTAGTTGTGCGTTCATATCTCCTGCAAGTACTATAATATCTGAACTAGTAGCACTGCGTAGTAGCGCGTTTAGTTCGAGATAGAATGTTACTTGCAGCACTAAAACTGCAGTCGGTGGGAGCATAAGCGAAAATCACAAACAGCGTTTTGTACTACTTCGTAAGACAACCTTAGTTGATCTCGTTAAACGGGCTGCACATAAACGGCTGTTCACTGGAATCTAATCAACCAATGATGACAAGGCCTTGGAGCTTAATATCTGCTTGACCCGTGAGTGCTGCATGGGCGTCTCCAGATGCTTGCAACCAACAGCAGGAGGACAAGCCGGGCAGTTAATTTAACAACCCACTAGGATCACTGATCCTAGTTTCGGGCACACAACACACATCAATACGCAGTGTGTTCAAGGTGCGTGCGAGTGCAGCCTGTTGACCTATTTGTTTTGAGTGCGAAAGTTGAACGCCACTATTGAAACGGGATAGCGCTGCCTTATAAGGGACTTTTGCTGATAGGTGCTGTGGGATGGTGGTTGCAGACGGTTCTACTCCAGTGGCACTTCGGTTGCTGTCAATTAAGCTGGGAATTATAGAAGGAAGGTTAGTAATGGGGGTCGGGATGGGAGCAAGAGGAAAAGGTGGAAAAGAAAGAAGGGAGGCGCCAGCAGTAGCATGTTTTCGCTTATCCGCCCTGCTGTATGCAGCAGATAAGGCGACCCTTGATAATCTGCGCGACGGCCGATGCAGGATGAAGTTTATGTTTGAACAAAATGTCATGGTTGTATGTGGGCTGAGATACTGGCAGGACGCCCAGACCTAGACAGGAGGACGAGTAAGGTACTCAGCCAAAGCCTTTGGCTTGAAAGCCTGTCCGCAAGGCAGCGGGGTGGTGTCAATGATTCCGTTTTACAGAAATGGACGCCATCCCATTCCATACCCCCAACCTGGAGGACTAGGAGACTGAGCTTGTCAGACTTCTAACCACTGACTAACCCGGTAGGTGTGACTCTCAAGTGGCCCGGAGACACTAGCCAGTATAACTCAATCGGTCAAGGAGGTACGCAAAACGTCGCACCACGTTAAGTTCCAGTCCCGTTGCGACGGGACCCATCCCTAAGCTAACCCTTGGTGGGGATCAACTAAAAGTCGTCGAAAAACAAGCATCTGGGAAGCTATACTAGCGCTAATGGGATGGAAGATGATTGAAAACCGCATAGCAAAAGCAAGAGGCGCTTGCCAATGTCCACCACTTGTGGTACCGGCCCGATATCACATACCAGTCTAACAGTGGTGATGAGTGGACCAGAAACGGACGCTGTACGTTTATGGTCCTCCGGCTTCATGTTCTTGAGAGTGTTTAAGTGATGCTCACAACAAGTGAAGTCGACGATTGATTACGTAGCCCAATACTTGGAGTTGTAACAGAAAACAACATAGGGCTTGCAAGAGCACGCAATGGGCATGTTCAAATTCAGGTGGGAGTGAAAAATGTGAGTCAAGTGAGGGGTAAACGGGTTTTGGAAATGAGACGGATGAGTTTTGTATTCGTGCCTGCTACTTCATGTAGAGGTATTAGCGAAAACGAACAAACTAATCATGCTAAACAATTTTGCTCTAAACCTAGTAATGTTCAATGCTGGCGTGCACCTGTAGTTATTTTTTATGTATTGCGGTACAGTAGCTGTTTTCCACCTCTAGCTAACATGTAACAATGATGATGAATCATCAAGGTAGCTGTTTGCGAATTATCGGAGTAGATAACCACCTTAACTTTAGAATGCGTATAGGTGAAGTTTCGTTAACGAAAAGAAACGATCAGGTATCCTCACTCCACTGTCCAAACCAGTTGACATAAGCCTAGAAGAACGGGCACGAGCGTGATATTTTGAACGTACGGTGAAATCAAACTGTCTAGACGTGAGTTGTTTGATCAGCGCTTGGTCAGTAGCTGGGGTGTTCCTGCGGCACAGTAGCCGCGGTGTTCCCCACCTCTAGCTAACGTGTATGATGATGATGGTCAAAGAATTGTGATCATCAGCAAAGCAGCCTGGAAGCCGTGATAGATCAAGGCTTTATAAAAACGGAATGTGTTAAGACGTTGATTTGTAGTCCGGTAAGGTTGACTGAAAAGATATGCAGATGGGCCTCATGAATAGGTGATGCGGTCTTCAGGTCGAGGGAGCAGTGCGAGTGATAGTGGTTTGAAAATACGCCGTTTGCACTCCGTGAGCAGATAGTTACTGCTAAAATGTACATGCATGGATGACAGCGTCACACGCGCCGAAAATAATGTCATTGATCAGATAGATGGGATTAGTCATGATTGCTCGGGGATAGAAGTAAAGGGCACTATTCTGATAATTGAACTGGAATATGGTCCAAGTACTGATCACTTATAGGTAAATTGTTAATGTAAGGTAGTAAGGGGATCTAATACAACGTTAAGTTGAAACCAACTAGTATCTTATCTGGCCAACATGACAGAATGTTAAGAACGAACAGCCGCAACAACAGAGAAACGACTGGCCTTTACTATCCTAAGTTAGCGGTTTTAAGGGTTAATTAGCATACATGCTGTTTCGTCATAGTGCTTCGTGAAGCTTAATTCCAGAGTAAAAACACTCAGCTAGAGTCCATCAAAGTTTGAGCATAGATGCATTGTGATGCTCATGGCCGAACACTGGTTTATGCTCTCGGTCGAAAGCAATATAGCGAAGGAAATGAGGGCTGCTCAATTTGTGGAAGCCGCTACACGTTGGGGCTCGGAAACTCAGTATGCGTGTGGTCGAGGATTCCGTGTATGCTGGTCGTAATAGACTTGGGTTAAGTGCGAAAAATATTAAGACGCAGCTGGTTTGAGGATGCGCATAATAGATCGTGGCCCTCTGGATGAAGTTGTCACAGGTACCTACAGAAGACGGAGCCTCAGGTGACCAGATGGCATGAACATCCGCGGAAGAGTTGCTTTGATAATGAACACGAAATGGGAAGGCAAATGAAACAACAGCCTACTAAGAGATCTTCGACGACTTACCCGTTGGCTTGCTAGACACTTCTGACCTGCTACATGAAACGACATTGAAACAAGGCGAAAGATGATCAAACGCTCTTCAAAACCGGACTAGCAAGGAGGATTCTGCAGGAACTAATGAATCCTCTAGCAGTTCGTCCGAGCAAAAAACAACTGGAATGCACACACTAAAACAAACGCGGAATGAATGTACACAGGGTGAGAGTGGCAAAAACTAAGCTACCAGCCGGTATGGCAGCAAGGAGCAAGAATAACCGTAGACTCACATGAGGTAATCCATTAGGGTAGCCTGAATTCACGAATCCCTGAAAGAATAAATCATGAAGGATTACAAGCCTACGTAATCATGAAATGCTTTTGCTTCACTCGAGTGTTCGTGTGTGTCACGACGCTCAGGAGCAGCGCTGTATAGGTCCCAGAACACACTATAATTCAAAGGTAAAGCGTAACACACAAGACGTACTTCCACCAGGAATGAAGAAAGCCAGGTGGCTCACTAACGCTGATGGGTTTATCCCAATGGATCTAAAAGTTATGATTAAAAAGTTAACTACCTCCTGTAAGAAAGATGAAGCGGTCTTTTGTGCGCCGATATGGATTAAATACTCGTACACGTAAACAGCCAATTTTTCTTTAGATTGGGCATCGGAAGGGATTCCGGCTCCTTTGGATTTAGCGTACATTATAGGAATACCGGTCACCGGAGAAGACCATCAAGAGAGAAACCAAAGAAAGAGAGAAGATAAAGAGTACATCAAAAATTTCGGATGAATATTGCCACCAATGGAAGAGCAAACATTTAAACAACCGCAACGTTGCTAATTAAAAAACATTGCGTTCACGCTGAAAAACTAAGTTTTTAAATTAGTTAAAATGAGTGCATTATGAAAGTGGGATGGTAGTTCAGAAAATGCTAGCCATCTTGGCGGTAACTTGCAAATTTGAGTGCCGTCCAAGTTCATGTGAAAGGAGAACTTTAGGAATATTCCGTGCGTGTTCATTCTTCAGATGGTCGCTAAACCAAGAGTTAATAGGGCATTCCTCCATTTACAAATAGGAATTCCTTAGCCCGCTGTCTGTGCGTTTTTACTTTCATTCGATTTCCACTTCGGTTAGGAGCGGAACGAGGGGATAAACCAGTAATGTTCATTCTATTGCGTATCATTTTCTCGGGACAGTATTTACATGCTCAGCCAAACATTTGACTTTTGGCAACACTCGCTTGATCCAAATAATCTTAGGTGACCGTTTTCTCTGGGCTGTCTTGCCCGTTCCAGCGTTCTTAATAAAGGTGCTATGAATATAACCGCTGGTACCATGAGACCTGCGCCGGATTGAGCTTTGACAAGTGCACATACTTTCAACCTGTGATAACGAATTGCCCAGTTACTCTGTATGCTCTAATAGTCGGTCTGAACGTTTGATGTTACACAGTAGGCATCAAGTAATGTCGGACTGTGTAACCGGCAAATGCAAGTCTTCCTATCATCTCTGGACCGGAAAGTTACTGATGAAGAAACCGGGATCCTTGTTTGATGTCTGCGCACTGACGGAATCTACTCTGTTAGCCTGTTGATGAGAATACACTGCAGGGATTGCTCCCGTGTCGAATACTAGCTACCTTAATGACCCTAACCAACCACCTGCTTTCATATTGGATGCCGTCCAATGCGAGGCCGCGCTAATGGCCGCTGTGCCCACTAGATGCAGCAAGCTGGAGCCTAAGAGCGTCCATAATGTCACACGAGGTTTGAGGAGATTCGACCCAAGAAAGGTGTTGTAACAAAAAGCGCTACCCCAATTCCCCCTGCTTTGTTGGCGGTGACACGCGCCGGGTCGTCCACTGTGCTATATAAATACATAAATTCTTTATTTTTGGCGGTTCGTGGCTCGCCTGTAAAGACATTATCATGGTGTTACAAACATGTATGACCGGTAATTTAACTGATCTTACTGGCTATCCAGTAACATATGTGTATGTGTGCAGGTAGTTGTTGGTGTATATGTGTAAGTAGTCAGCTGGGGTGTTTGTTAATGTGTCTCCGAAGTTGGGCTTTTGATCACCGGAATCTCCACAGAATAAAGATTAAAGGAAGACTTCGAATGGGATGAGGTATGTGATGTGTGAGGTCCTACGAAAAGGCAAGTAGCATTGTCTAAATAAAGGCGGTCACAGCTGTTAAGCCGCGGTGTTGTTGAACGGTCAGCTGTGGCTTTTTAAAGGGAGAGCGCTTGCGCGGCGGAACCCAACCACGTCCGGGAACACTGCTGATGAACCTTCTGCGGGAACGAGATTAACCCGAACCACCCAGCTGGAACCGCGAGGAGGATCTTCGGCTAACCAGCCAATAGTTATTCTGGACTATGTAGTGCACGCCCACAGAGGCATGGTCTGGTAGTTGCAGCTGTACACACTTATTGTGGCATCTGTAACAGAGACGATGGAAAATTTTTAGACGTGCATGCTTGTAGCTGTACGGTGGTACAATGTCTTTCCTGATATCAGGATAGGTTTGTAGGGACATAATCAGTCTGCCGTTTATTGTAGTACTACAGTAACCGGGATAACCCAGCATTCAGGATGATCGATTGGAAGATAATTGAAGCGCATGGTAGACAGAGATGTGACGATATGCCGGGTTCCTGTGTACCTAACGCAAATTTCAACGCAGGTGCAAAGCATCCGTTTAATAACCGTTGCATGAATGAGTGAATGTGATGCGTGTTGCCTAGTGGGCTGTGACCTTATTCAGTGGCGAGTCACATCCGCCACGTTACAGAGTTAAACGAACCTATAGGGAGAACGCATGTCTGGCGAAATTGCACAACGTCCTGGAACACCACCGCCGAACCATTGAATGTCAAGTTGTAACTGGGTGTGTTACTTATTGAGCGGTTATTTGTTTGGCTATGCGCAGACAAGTTGCGTCCACTTTCCCGTTGGCTGACGCTCGTTAGGCGAGTGTCTATTTCGGCCCTGGGTCTTGTCCTGCCTCGACTGAATCTCTGGTCCCGTTTGGTAGGTAGGTCATGGGTTGAATATTTTGCACGTCATGTGCTGATCGTCTGCAGAACCACGTGCAGTCTTCGGGGTCATCCAATGAAAAATCATTTCAAAGCTTTGTTGAAGTGCTGAAGGAGGCCGTACCCAATGGCTCAAGCCGAAAAGGATACCAATAATTGTCCCCAAACCAAACCGTAGGTTCTTCCACACTGAGTAGTAAAATGGATTGAATATAGGCATCCATGTATAATAGAACAGTCGAATTGGGGAAGAGAACTGGATGACTGGTAAGCGAAAAACTATCCAACAGCGAAAAGTGGCTAAACCTAATTGTTCTGTACTTAATAACTGTTAGCAATGAATCAGGATTGGTCCAATCGAGAACGACCTTGCATGGGCAGGAGAATTTGCTTTCCAAACTCAACTAAAAGTTTTGTATAAGTGTCGACATTAAATTACAACAGAAGAGCTTCAGGTTAGAAGTATATGAAAGAGACACTGTTAGACGAACTGGACCCAATTGTTTGGGCCTCCGGAAAATTGTATCCTTGCAAGATGGCGAATACACTGTCCGGTCGGTAACTTGTATCGACGGTGGATAATCTTTAATCAGTATCAGGGTAGAGCAGCATTGTGCCCGTAGGTTACGGCCGTGACCACAGCGACGGACGATTCTTTGGGTGCTTTACGCTGTGGTTAGCTCGGTAAATGGGCAACGAACATAGAAAGCCAAACAGACGAAGGAAATGTATCAGGAACACAGTCGAAGACACGATCAATTTCAACAGTGCTTGAAGTACTGTACCCATATACCAGATATTCTTCAATCAAATACCTCCTATATATGTTTTATGCAACTGATGAAATGCAACGAGGAGCGAGCAGACCACGGAACGGTAGCGGCTGGAATAATGTTCCGAGTTAGGAAGGCAAAAGGAGGAGCCAAGTGAGTTTGGAGGTTCTTAAAGCAAAGGTGCCTAATTGGTGAGACACTAGAGGAAAGAGGACGAGATGCGCTGAATATGGAACGAACATGTCGCTCAGAATGGATGACTGTGACAAGATGCCTCAGCGGCGTAAATTTGTAGGATTGTAAGAAGTCAGTAGCAGACAAACACTATTAAATTAATGTCAACTGAAGAAGGAATGGAAACAGAGGACGGAACAGAAAACATCGGGTCGGTATTGAAAATACTTTATTGTGGAGAGGTTGTAAAGCCGACCACGTTCTTGTGGTGATGTTAACAAACCGTCAGCTCTGACAATCCTTGCTAGGTAAGGTCGCATTAGTCGGAAAGCAGGAGACCATAGACGTAACTCGAATGCTGAGTCTTGGAGTTTAAGCTGTACAGCGAAGTTGAAATACTAACAGAGCGTCGGCAGCAATGAACATGTTAAGGATGAAAAGGGATATAATAATAAGGATGTGTCATGTCCAGTTACGCTCTTGAAGTTAAAGTTATCGTGTTGGGACGGAAAAGGCTAGATTATTTATACCTCAAAAGCCTGGGAGGGTTCAGCAAGCAAGAGACCGTTCAGACGAGAGCAGGTAAGCCAGCGCGTTGAGGCTACGCGGCTGGCCTCCGTAAGAAATAAAAAGAATGGTTGTCGGATTAGTCGTCGCATTAAGGTTGTGTCATACAATCACGCCAGAAAGACTAATAGAGATCGTCGACAGAGATGAACGTGGTAGTGCTGGAAGAGGCTATATTAATAAACGTTACTCCAATCCATCTGGCTCGCAAAGCGATGGGAGTATATCATTGCGTCTGCAGCGCTTAGGTCGTTCGCATCTTGGTAGTCTGAAGTAGTCATAGAGTAGGATCCTGGACAGTTGAAGCTAGAACAGGGCAATGAAACCTGGCTGTCAGCTTAAACAGGAATGGAAACACAGAACGCAATATGGGAATGAAGGGTTAGGATGAAAAATGGCTTACTGATAAGACGTGGAACAGCCAACGAGGCACTTGTGAGAAGTGGGACGGAGCTATTGGTCTTCCGGACAATAGCTGGTAACGTCACATTATTACGAGTGAAGGCAGAGATCAAGAGACCCATCAGACGAGAGTGAACTAGTAGGCTCAATGAGATGGAGTCGCAAAGTTAAGGTGGGAAGACTACTAGAGAAGGTCAGCGGAAATTTACAGGTTAGAAATAGAAGTAGCTATATTACTAAAGGGTGAGCAGTTTTTGCATAACGTAGAAAGTTTAAATATTGGTACTATGGAAGCAGTCAGAGATAGACTGGCCAGGTAAGACTAGGGCAGGGCACTGAGAGCTGTCTGTCCGGTTGAAGAAGTAATGAAAAAGAGCGCACCAACGTGGTCCTCGCAGCAATATTGCTGGTAACGTCATAATAGCCTGAGCGCAGGCGGAGAGCAGGGAACCCATCAACCGATACTGGGTTAGTCGGCTCACTGAGCTGGAGTCTAGGGTTACTGTGGGAAGACAAGTAAATAAATAAATAGAGTGGGTCAGCAGAAATGAACAGGTTAGGGATAGAAGAGGATAAATTACTAAAGAGTGAGCAAGTCCAGCAAGCTCTCGGGGTTTGGAAAATGATAGCGTCCAGTTTGCGGAGGGTAAAGCAGTTCTATCTCGGAAATCTTGAGTGCAGTCAGAGAGAAGACTAGTCAAATGAGACTTGGTCATGACACTGCATTGAGAGTTCGTAGCCTGGTTGAAACGGCAATGAAAACAGCGAACGCAAACCGGAAAGGACGGGGTCGGGATGCAAATGCTATATTGATAGAGGAAGGAGAGGCCAACAAGTCTCTAAGCTTATTGAGAACATAGCGTTCGGTCATCCCAGTATT